ATCCAGCCCCATTCCCAGACACAGGGATCCCATCCAGCCCCATTCCCAGACACAGGGGGTTTATCCAGCCCCATTCCCAGACACAGGGGGTCCATCCAGCCCCATCCCTGGACACAGGGGGTTTATCCAGCCCCATCCCTGGCCACAGGGCCCACTTCCTTGGAAAAGGAAGAGGCTGCCCAGCTGCTGTTCCAGACTAACTGTTTGATGGCACGTACAGAGAGCCCATTCCAATCTATTTTTTGGCAAAAATGCACATTTTTGGCACTGCAGAACTGGCTCAGGGCCCTTCTGTGCAGGAAAACTGCATTTTTGGGTTCAGTTCCACAAAGAGATGAGAGGAAAGGCCTGGCAGGGCCACTCTCCAGGACTGATGGAAAGAATTTTTCCAGCTCATCCTGCAAATGAATTCGGGAGGGCAGGGAAGGGAGGGACAATCCTGACACAGCAAAGGCTGCTCTGGGGCTCATTCAACCCTCCTGAATGGCACCAAAAAATCTGCTTTTCATCAACTGTTTGCTCCAACTGCACCGAGGACAGAGCACATTCCACAGGGTTCTGCTCAGGGATGGGCTTGGAATGTTGGGAAGCCTCACTTACCAAGCAGGTTTGGAGGTTTAAAGTCACCAGCTCGGGGCAATGTGCTCCAATGTACTTCAGGGCCTCATCCTCGAGCTGGGGGGGGGGGGAAACACAGACACTGAGACAACCTGGCACTGCTAAAACCCACCCACTGGAGCTGGGGGGGCAACAGAAGGGTTTTGGGGGCCTTTGGGGGAGGAGGGAAAGGCACCAGAGCCACAGAACCCACTGCCCTGGGGGGGCTTCTGCCCTGGGGGGGCTGGTTTGGGGCAGCCCAGGACAGAGCTCAGCCCCACAACACCCCTGTCCCTGAGCCAGGGAGAGCTGAGCTCATCCCCCAGGGACACTTCCCACAGAAAGGGGGGAAATCACCCCCTCCTGACAGGGATCAGGGGGATGTTTCACCCCCCAGGGCCTGCGAGGGACACTTACATTGCAGTAATAATTATTATTGCAATAATAGTAACAGTAACAATAACAACAACATTCTTTTCTTATTGCTTTCTTTTCTTCTTCTTCTCTTTTCCTTCTCCTCCTCAGGTCAGTTTAAATAACAAAAATATAACAGTGGGGCAAAAAAAAACCCCTTTTAGCCTTTATATATCCCAAAATCCAGGTATCAGACCCTCTCCAAACACCCTCCAGAGCTTGAGGGAACAGGACTGTGGTTCCAGAGGTGTTTTCCAAGGAAAAGAGATTCCCTTTGAGTAACTACAAACCCAAAGGACACAGGGAGGGAATTCCATGCCCAGGCAGATGAAAGGAGGGCCCTGAAATCCCTCGGAGCCTTCCCAAAGGATGGGTCTGGCCACGGATAACACACTTGGAGCCCCTCCAGAAAATGATTTGCTCAATGGGAAAAGAGAAGATGGGGGAAAAGAAGGATTCTCCAGCTGGGTCTGTGACTTATCCCACTGCTCCAAGTATTAAGGAGCTTCCACAAACCTCCAACAGAGCGGGAGGAAATCCGGCGACGGAACTTTTTTGGGAAGTAAAAGAAATGCCCAGTGTTTCCTCCCCACCCCCTGAGGAGCAGCAGGAACATCCCAGCTGTGCTTCTCCCCCTTTTCCAGAGCCATACCTGGGTGCAGCCCTTCAGGGACAGGGCTTTGAGCCCCCCACAGCCCCTGACCAGGGCCTGGATCCCGTCCTTGGTCACTTGGTCGCACCAGGAGATGATGAGCTGTTCCAGCAGCGGGCATCCCTCGCTTGGGGGGGAGAGAGGGGAAAACATGGGAATGCTGGTTTGCTTTGGGAGGCAATCCTGCTTTTTCACCCCTGAGATGCCCATTCCTGGAAGCCCTGTGAGCGCAGACACTCCCACACCCCACATCCCCCCCAGGGGGGGATGGTTCCCAAACCTCGGCTCCGAGGGGGACGTTCCCCGGGTGGTCTTGGAGGTCTTTTCCCACCTTAATTCCATGATTCTGCTGGCACAGCCAGTGCTGCTGGCTCCTACCTCAGTGCTTTCAGGGACAGGTTGGTTATGGAGGTGCAGGAGGCCAAGTCCAGGTGCCTGAGTTTGGAGCAGAACTTGCTGAGGCTCGTGCAGGTGCTGGAAGAGAGACAGGGAGACAATTCCTGCCACGGATCCATCCCAGCTCACACACATCCCACGGGAGGGGCACTCTGGGGGGAGCAGGGGGGTGGGGACACTGGGATGGAACTCCCAGAGAGGTTGTGGGAAGTGCTGGATGGGGCTTGGAGCAACCTGGGATAGTGGAATGTGTCCAACCCACGGCAAGGGGTGGGACTGGGTGGGCTTTAAGGTCCCTTCCAACCCAACCCATTCCATGATTCCATGATCTCCCACACACCCAAGCCTGGCTTTCCCTTAGAAAAGGGATGGGAAACAGGCCCTGGAGCAGCCAGGGCTGAGGGAAGAGCTCTACTCACGCGTCCGTGATCTTGGTGCAGCCATTGAGGTTCAGCACCTCGATGTTCCTGCAGTTCTGGGCAAAGGTCCTTTGGGAAAGGGAGGGAAAACACTGGGTTGGCCAGGGAACAGAATTCCAGGTGGGTTACAGCAGTTGTGTGAAATGGAACCCAGCACATTAAGGTTTGGCAGAACGGTCTCGAGCGTTAAAGAAGAAATAAAGGAGGAATAAAG